ATAGACCGAATATTATTCCTCTAGTCTTTATGTAACAAACAGTAGATTTGTTGCTCCCATAATGGTGGCCTACAGCTGTGTAGCTTTTGCCTTCCTTTAACATGTGGAGAAGTTCCACCTTTACTTTGATGGTAAGCATCTTCCTCTGGCACTTGGGTTCAGTGCCAGAAGCCTTAGGAGGTGCAGAGCGTTTGATTGGCATTGTAGAGCTTGACATAAATTCCATAAAAACACACACTGCAGAGCAACACTACGTGCAGCAATCAGACATCAATGTGAAGTGGACAAGGAGAGATGCTGAACATATGGGCATAACATGGGAGAGCAAACAGACCGATGCTACAGTCACCAATCAGCACTCAGGATACAGAACACAGTGCTGTGGTTGGTCACCTTCCATTCCATTAGCCAATAGTGTGCTATGTACAATCTCACATTGGCAAACTTGTGCAAGTGGTAATCACCTCCAGTACAATGTGGAGAGAGTGGTAATAGACACCTTCGTCTCCTTCCTTTTCTGAGGAGAAAAGCACCTAGTTCTGTTAAGTATAATGCTGGCTGAGGGTATTTTAGATCCTCTATAGGAAAGTGAGTCTACTTTAACTGTCTATATTGCCTGGATCCCCTTGAGGTTTCTCCCAAAAGGAAGAAAGAGGGATGGAGCTGAGTCTTCACCTTGAGGAAGGTGTTCCTCTGTTGATAGGATGGAAACAAGCGTATCTTTCCATCAGATGCTTTCAAGGTGGGCTGCACCCTTATAAAACAGGTGTTTGGGAAGGACAGGTTTTTGTGGAGAGCTACTCTACCCTCTGTCCATTAGGAGGCAGTGTAGTCTGTGGTTAGGAACTTAAGCTTAGCTGCCTGGGTACCTGGTCCCCACTCAGCCCTGCATCCTTGTGTAAATTGTTCAAACTTTCTGTGCCACAGTTTTCTACCTGTAAAATGAAGAGATCAATAGAATAGGAATGAATGTGGTTACGTGCTTAAAACAATGCCTATTGCCTGATGTGTTTAAAGACCTTGCTTACATGAAGCTAATATGTAATAACTTTGTTTACATTTAAGCAGGTTTCAGTAGTGAGTTTACTGTTTATTGTAAAAGATAACTGTACCATTTTTTAAAAAAAATTCTATTCCTAAAACTTCACATGAAGGTATTTGAAGGTGAAAGGGAGATACTGTTTTTAAAATATCATTTATAGGGCTGGGAAAGTTGCTCAGTGGTAGAGCGCTTACCTTGCATGCATGAGGCCCTGGGTTCGATTCCTCAGCACCACATAAGCAAAAAGAAAAAAGCTGGAAGTGGTGCTGTGGCTCAAGTGGTAGAGCGCTAGCCTTGAGCTGAAGAGCTGAGGGACAGCACCCAGGCCCAGAGTTCAGGCCCCCCAACAGGAACCCCCCTCCCCCAAAACTATATCGTTTATACTGCATATACATTTTGAAATCTTGTGGATTGTACAGGCTTAGGCAGTAGCATTCTTTGTGTGTGTGTGTGTGTGTGTGTGTGTGTGTGTGTGTGTGTGTGTGTGTGTGTGTGTGTGTGCTAGCCCTGGGTCTTGAATTCAGGGCCTGCACACTGTCCCTGAGCTTTTGAGCTCAAGGCTAGCACTCTACCACTTGATCCATAGCTCCTCTTCCACCTTCTTGATGGCTAATAGGAAGTAAAAGTCTCACACATTTTCTTGCCCTGCTAGCTTCGAATCTTGATCCTCAGATCTCAATCTCCTCAGTAACTAGAATTACAGGCATGAGCAATCAGCATTCAGCTGGCAGTGATTTCTTCAAATTCTCTATACTTCGAGGCTGAGCCAGACTTTCTGATATGTTTGTTTTGGCCACTTATCAGTTGGATGGAGTGAGGCTCCTATACTGCAGTCCCCTCTGAGAATGTGGACCACTGTACATCTCTGGTGGCATCAGCTGACTCTTTCCCACCAACAAATTCCATTTCAAGAGGACAGAGACTTCTGTGTCCATTACCTTCCTGGGACATTTACACTAGTGAACCTGTCTTTCTCTCATAGTACTTTAAGATCTGGGGCTACCTGGGCAGGTTTGGAGGTAGCCAAAAGGGTCCCTGTACCAACAGGGATAAGGTTACAATAGGATTGCTCCAGCAACATGGAGCAGGACTGGGATGTTCACATACGAGGAAAAGCCCCAAGGTGCCAGTGTAGCAGGTCTTCTAGAATCTTCCCCCACAATCTGAACTTGTCTTTTCTCTCATAAGTTTTGAAGAGCACCATCACAACAGGATTTTCCAAGAGCCCTTTGTAAGGTCTCTCTTTGTAAGCTTTTTTTTCTAGCCAGTTGTGTGTTTCTTATTTTTCTCTTGACTTCAGTAGTAGCACTATCAATGTTCCAAATAAGCTATTTGAGGCCATCAATCCAATAGGAGGCTCACACTGGTGTGAGGACTTTGCTTCAGCAGACCTATGTCTACGGATGACTTGCTGAGCCACCCAACCACAAGCATTTGGCAAGAACCTGCTTGTCTCTGTGAGGTCCAGAAACAGGGAAGTGAGATGGTGCAGAAAGAAGTTCCAGACAGAGAAGAAGTCTTCCTTCTTGCTCGCTGCCTGTGAGCACTACTACATGTGTCACCACTCTATATTTTGAGTTTCGCTTAGGAAGTTAAAAAGTGCCCTTGAGCCAGGTATCTCATACCTGTAATCCTTGTTACTCAGAAGGCTGAGATCTGAGGATTGAGATTTGAAGCCAACTCAGCCAAGAAAGTTCACAGGACTCTTATCTCCAATTAACCATCCCAAATCTGGAAGTAGAGGTATGGTTCCAGTGGTAGAGTGCCAGCCTTGAGTGAAAACAACAACAACAACAACAACAACAACAACTAAGGCCCTACCCTAAGTTCAAGTCGTAGTACCAGCACACCAAAAAAATGTTCTCAATTCTATTTGGACACTCTGCACAGTGTTTTTGTGTTCCCTGCCTCCCTGCCATGGTGAGGAACAATGTTTGGGAGAGTCTGTCACCAGTTCCCTACTGTTACCCTACAGTGTGATGGGCAAGGTTTGGAAATCTCCTTCTAGAACTTTGAGGAATATTAAGCCAGCTCTTGTCTTCCCCTTCGCTTAGGATTTTCTGCAGGCTGCTCCCTCACAGTTGTCCCTCTCTCCCCAGCTTTCTCAATTGTCATTGTGATACCAGTGCAGAGTGAGACTGATTCAAATAGCAGAGGGGGCCCTCCCTCCAGTGGCAGGAGATGCCCCATGAGCTGGGAAAGCAGACACACACAGGACATTGTTCTCCAAACAGCGCCACTACCCCAGGTAATTGTGCTGAATTATACATGGGAGCAGCTCTCCGCAGGGCTGATTTTCCACTGGAGCACAAAGCTCTGTGGCAGAGGCAGCATCTTACACAGCAAGACCTCCAGGCCCTGCAAACCTGCAGAGCTACTAGGGAGAGGTTGCTTTCCAAAAGATGGGGCTCATCTGCATGTGAGTTAAAAGCAGATGGCATTGGAGTTGCAGAAAGTCTAGCTTTCTGTCTGAATGTTATTTCCTTGAACAGAAAAAGACACGTGAAAGGTTTAGACATCAAACCATTGGGTTTTCTAAACAAAGACAGGCAAGAAGGAACAAAGGAATGTCAGAAGTGCCCAATTTAACTCTCCTCTAGTCCGATAAGAGTCTGCCATCAGCTCCACCAGAATGACCGGAAGTCCCAGCCTCGTGACGTAGCAGTTTTCTCCTATGGTGTACTTCCTGCATTCTGATCTTATTCCAGGTCTGTTTCCTCATTACCCTCCAGCTAAACAGTGAGACAAGGGAACAATGAGGACCAGGTAGTGGCTCAGGCCTGTAATCCTAGCTCTTGGGAGGCTGAGAGCTGAGTGTTGTAGCTAGAAGCCAGCCTTGGGCAGATAAATGCAAAAACCCAGAAGTGGAGCTGTAGCTCAAGTATTAAGAGCATCCACCTCGCACAAAGAAGCTATGTAAGAGTGAAGCCCTGAGTTCAAACCCAAGTTTGGGCACCAAAAAAAAAAAAGGAAAGAGGAATGATGCCCTGCATTGGGATGATTGAGTCCATCTCATACAGAGACCATGAGAGCAACCCAATGGTTGAACAAATGACACAGGCATAATTATTGCTCCTGTTTCCACATTTATGTTAATTCCCCATACATATCAGACTGGAGACTACCAGTTCTTGAGGTTTAATAGGTCTTCAGGAAAGCAACATGAAAACACATAGAAACGTCTGACTGTAAAAGGAAGAAGGGAGGAATGGAAGTAGGGAGAGAGGGAGGGAAAGAGGGGACTTACTTGTTAAGGATTAGATTTAACTAGTTGTTTTCATCTTTAGAATTCTTCAGGCAGTGAGTGACTAATCTCACTGCACTTCCTTCAAATTCTTTCTTTCTCTCTCCCTTCCTTCCTTCCTTCCTTCCTTCCTTCCTTCCTTCCTTCCTTCCTTCCTTCCTTCCTTCCTTCCTTTCTTTTTGTCTGTTCGTCTGTCCATCCTTCCATCTGTCTATCTGTCTTGTTTGGCAGCCTTGAGCTTGCTAGACAGTCACTCTACCACTTGAGCTACACCCTTAGAGCTTTTGAGTTGTTTTTCAGATAAGGTTTTGCTTGGACTTTTGCCCTGGTCAGCTTCAGACCAGGATTCTCCTATCTTGGCTTTGAAAGTATCTAGGACTACAGATGTGTACCAACATACCCCAGCCACCAAACTTGATATCTTTCAAGTATCAGCTATGAGTAGCTACTCTGTTTGATGTGTGAGGAATTAACATATAGAAACTGGACTGCCATACATCATGTATGGTATTTATTCATGTAAGCAGTGATATTTATAGGACATGGAAGCATCCTACCAGAGTTTTGTATCATATCCATGCTGAATGTTGTTGCATCAGGGCTTGGGATAGTTGTGGTGGGTATGATACTAAGTTCACTTCTCTCAGAATACCATCAGTGGGTTTTTTTAATTTTATTTTTATTTTTGTCTTTAAATTTCCATGAATTTGGCAGGTGGTGAGCAAGCAAGAAGACATCTTCTTTGTATGGAACTCCTGTCTGCACCATGTCACCTCCCTGTCTCTGGCCCACATTCACAGAGGTGAGCTGGCTCTTTTTGGATGCTTGTGGTTGGGTGTGTTCTGTAGGTCAGCTGAGGATTTACATAAAGGAAGCCCTCACATCAGTCTCAGTCTCATATTGGATTTAGGGCACCAACTAAATTTGTTGGAAATCAACTCCCAGCTTTCTGGTAACACTGACTAACTAATACCACTAAATCCATTGGGAGCTACTCGCCTAATAGACCCTGACAATTGCAAATGGCACCAGGAAAGGCCCAAGTGGCAAAGCTGTGGTTCTCAGATGTATTTCTCTGCCCAGGGATGACTATCATTACTAAATACCAAATGGGAGAGTATGTATACAAATAAAGCAAGTGCCACTTAATAGTGCCATCATATGAAGAATTCTAAGTGCCAGAACTACTTAAGCTTAGTCTTCAAGTTAGCAAGAAAGTAAATCAGCCACTTAAAAGCAGTTTTTCTCAACCAGGAACAATTTTGCTGTGTAGCAGGAATTTGATATGTTTAGAGAAAAACGTCTCTATACTACGATGCTTCTGGTGGGTAATGGGTAGAAGCCAGGGTACTTCCAAATACCCCACCGCACATAGGACAAAATCACTCAGTCCTGTGTAACAATAATGCTAAGGTCAAGAAATTGGAATATGCATTTTGACTTCAAAAGACCAAAGTAATAAAGCTAGATGCAGTGACTTATCATGTAATTCTAGGTATGCCAGAGTTGGGAGCTGGAGAAACATAGCTTACAGCCAGCCTGGGTAGAAAACTCCACCTCCAATTCACAAGCAAAATGCTGGACTGACACAAGTGATCGAGTATCAGTCATGAGTAAGAAAACTGAGAAGAGCATGAGGCCCTGAGTTCCAGCCCTGGTATGGGTGGTATGGGGATAGAACTAAAGTAACAAAAGTGCTGGGATATAGCTTAAATGGTAGAGTGCTTGTCAAGTAAGTACAAAGCCCTGAATTCAAACACCTGTACCATCAGGAAAAAAAAAAAAACAAGACAGAAATAATGAAGTAACTAACGTACCAAATAAGGTCCTTGACAGATTAGCCTTGCAATCATTTCATCTCAAGAGTCATTGTTTTATTTACCATGGGAGCAAGTATTAAGCTCACTGAGCTTGTTCACACAGGGACCACTGCTGGACATGGAAGGCAGGGCATGCTTTGCTCATTACCAGTGCTGCAGAGGCTGAGCTCCTCATACTTATCTGGCACTGTCTCTTGTGGCAGAATTCCTTAGTACAGTCCATTAAAGAATCAGAGCCGGGATTATGGCAGCAACACAGGAATGCATGCAGCCTTCACACCACCCTCCCTCCCCAATCAGGAAGTTCCCAAAGAGCCAAGGATCCGTCAGTAAATGTCCTGTGATTAAGTGTTGTCATGTTACAATGGTTACAGGAATGCTCAATGCCCTCCCTAAGAGCTCCAGGGATGGTGTGGTTTGGACTCAAATAGAATCTGGCCTCTGCGGACTTTGTCCTCTTGGGTGAACCTCAAGGCAAGGTCTAGATAGAAGGAGCTGAAATGAGAATGCCAAGAGCCCATGTGCTCTTCATGAGGAGGCTACAGAATCACTGCCCCAGCCAGTCTTTTGCACACAGAGACCAGGCCTTGGAATAACCACCTCCTTGATTCTGATTGATTTCTACTTTCTGCTCTCTGGGAGGAGGAAAGGAATAAGGAGAAGACCAAAGGACCCCAAGAATCAGGGACTGGGGGGAATCTTCCTTCCCCTATATGTTACTAAGATCCAGGATTGGAGCTCTCATTTGCAGATCCAGAAGTTTTATTTGCACACCCACATTCGGTTGGGCCCAGAAAAATGAACTGAACTTAGATCTGACTGATTTATAAACAGATTGTCGGTTATTCATACCAGTCAGAATCCAGCTGCCAAGCCAGCTGCACATGCTCAGCTTTCCCAAAGGCAGTTCTCCGCATGGAATGAAACTGTAGCAAGGAGGCTGCAGCAGGTCAGACAGTCAGTGTAGCTCATGCCTCAGGCCTGGCTGCAGATCTGAGGGTCCCCTGTGACCTGCGGAGACCCCGCAGCCCAAGGGCTGCCTATGTGCCTAGATTGTGTTGGTGCCTTGGATACTAGCCTTAACCCTAGTAACTTACATAAACCACCCCTCTTCCATTGGAGGGTTACATTTTATATTTGTCAATCAGGCTGAAACTTATCTGGGATATAGGGCTGCATGCAGGACACCCCTGTTAAATCGCCCAGGCTGGAATGCACAGATGAACTGTCCAGACTCCAGGTAAACAGCTTCCAAATATTCAGAGATGTGATTTATATTGAGTCAGAGATTCATTGTGTCATTGTCTTCATCTTAGAAACAAGACAGGTGTGGACACCAGTGGCTCACGCTGATAGTCCTAGTTAATTGATGTTTGAAGCTGGCTGGGGTAGGAAAGTTTTTGAGACTTTTATTTTCAATTCACCACCAAAAAGCTGGAAATAGAACTGTGGCTCAAGTGATAGAGTATCCACCTTGAGTGAAAAATCTAAGGAATAGTGTCCAGGCCCTGAATTCAAGCCTTAGTACTGCTATTAAGAGAGAGAGGAGAGAGAGAGAGAGAAGAGAGAGAGAGAGAGGAGAGAGAGAGAGAGAGAGAGAGAGAGAGAGAGAGAGAACAGTCAGGCCTCTGGGGCTCTGCTTTTTTTGAGCCTGAGTTTGGTGTGAAGATTGAGGATGTGGCCTCTGAAATCTAGTTTTCTCAATTCAGGTCCTGCCATTGCCCGCTACCATCTGTGTGACTACTATTCAACCTCTCTGAGCTTGAGATTCATACCCACTTACAGAAAAGCCTTTTACCTCATGGGACTTGGGAAAATTGAGAGAAGCCTCCAAAGTCCTTGTCTTAGCCTGACTCATAGTGTTTAATTAAAAAATTGATTACTGTCCATCATTATTCTATGAAACCTTCATTTGCACAGCCAAAGTGGAACATGTAAACATCGTTCCTTAAGAGGAGAGAAAAGAGGATGATCAAGATCAAATAGGTTAAGGTCTTGATCTGCAGGAGATCTTAACAGGAGCAAATGTCAAGGTTCAGGTGTCACAATAACATGTACTGATTCTGGACTTACATTCGACTAATAACCATAGTAGCAAAAGTTCCAGATCAGATGAAGGAGATATGGATATACAAAGTCAAAGAAGAAAAACAATATGGATTTACTCAATGGAAATCCAGGGAATACTTTGAATAAGTAGAGAAATCTGTCTACAAGGAGGAAGTTTACACAGATACATAGCAGGGTCTGACACCAAGAGAGCACTGTGCATGCACAGTCAGGAAAATCCAGCAGACATGTCAGTCCACTGGAATCTCAGAGCCTCTGGGCTGAGGTCTCCAGGGACGCAGGAAGAAGTGAAGGAGCCCATCTGTCTTCTTCTGCACAGGCCCAGGTGTTACCTGTGCAGCTTTTGAAGGAAACACACAAAAAGGAAGAGGGTGTCAGTCTGTTAGAGCTCAAACCTTAGTGTCACCCCAGAAGAAAATGAACGCAGAATCAAGCCATTTTTATTAGGAACAAATGATCAAGAAAGAAAAGACATCAGTATCTGTCTGTCACCTAGAGACCAAGGAAAACCGTGTTTGAAATAAAAATGTTAAGCAGTCTCCAGTGGTTTCTCTAGTGAGATGAGCCACTACAATGATAAATTGGTATTTTTTTCTGTGATAGGCATTTTTATCTTGCCCTAGAAAACGAATAGCAGCTCTGAAGCCTGCTGGTGTCTGAGCCCCATAGGGTGTGCCAATTCCTAAGCCAAGAGAAGAAACGAAGCATTTTCATTAACTAAGTGGCCTCCTCCCTTTTCCAGCTCAGTGAAGAATTCTTCTTGCTTTCTCTCTCTCTCAGAGCTGATGAGTAGTTCTCATTAGGCTGCAGAAAGTCCCTTTCCTGGCTCTTAATAAAGTGCCTAATAATTTAGAATATTCACATGAAGAGCAGGTTGTAATTATCATCAGAATGTGTTATGCTGTAGATTCCTGCCTACTGAGGATTAATTTCAGACTCCTGTCAAGGATATATGTGTTTTGAAACAAGACTTTCCTTGCTAATAAAAACATGATCACATGCATTATTAAAACATTACTTCTGTGTTTGATCCATTAGTGTTTGTTCCAATATTCTTCATGAGGTTAGTGTTTTTTTTCCTCCCAATTGTTAATGGGGTCATTTATTATGCAAACTACACTCACCTCAATTTAGTTTAAGCTCTGGCATTTGTCTCTGAGGAAATTATTAAAAGATTATTACAACCTCCTTGAATGTGCATTACATTATGCAAGAGCAGAAACATTAAAGTTATTTGTGTGTGTACGTATGCGTGCAAGTGTGTGTGTGTGTGTGTGTGTGTGTGTGTGTGTGCCTGGACACTGTCCTTAGGTTGTTTTTTTTTTCCTCTCAAGGCTAGTACTACAACACTCGAGCCAGAGCTCTGCTTTTGGCTTTTTGCTGCTTAATTGAAAAAAAGGATCTCACAGACTTTTCTGCCTGGGCTGTCTTTCGACCTGAATGCTTAGATCCTAGGTTCTTGAGTAGCTAGGATTATAGGTGTAAGCCACTGGCACCCAGCTTTCAACCATAAATCTTTGTCATTATGAGTTCTTGTTGTCCCTTTAAATAACTCCCAAAGTCACCCAAGATTGCCAGTTCTCTCTGCTTGAAGGGCATAAATTGCATGCCAAACTCTTATTCTTTTTGTTGGTGGTGGTGGTGGTTGTGGGGCTTGAACTCAGGGTCTGGACTCTGTCCCTAAACCTTTTTGTGCTCAGAGCTAGCGCTCTACCACTTTAGCCACAGCACCACTTCCTAAGCATCTTATTCTTGGAATAATGAGTTTCTGCAGGGTTGTGCTGCTTGTGCTCTGGCAGTGTGGAGGGTGCCAGTGTGGAGGGTATAGTCAGAGGGAGGACCAGAGGGACCTTTCCTTTCCACTGGCCTCCATCTACTAGTGGGACAAGCTTTAGAGTGGTCCCTTGTATAG